CCATCTTCTCGTCCAAAAGCACCCAGTAGGAGAATGCCATGATCAGCAGCAGGCCCACGAAGTAGGTGAGCTGCACCAATCAGGAGAGAGACACACGGCGACAGGTGAGTTGCTGGTTCAAATCCAGCCCCAGTGAGAGCCAACACTTAGCTCTGGCTTAAACGCTTCCTCTTCTTATTAGTGTAGATACAGAATCAGATACCTCACCCCCCAAAATGATAATTTATGTATTAATTGCTCACCCCGTGTTACTTTGAATAATAAAAATTAAAGTTTTGTTTTTCCTCTCATGCGTCTCAAGGTGAATGTAGAAAACGGAGAAAGGTGTTGCTGAATTTAGGTAAATGTGGGGTATAATAATGAACCTGCATGATGTCACACCGATGACTGCAGCCGGTTAGTGTTGTGGAAGATGTCGGTCTGAGGAACGTTCTCAAGGTGCGTTCGCATCGCGTTTGGTGTGAACGCACCTTTAGGATCGCAACGAATGACGGCACGTATGAGCCTCAAGACGCACCATCAAAAGAAGAACACACGAGTTGTATGAAAAGGAAAGGACTACAAAAGCGACGGCGTTACAACGAGCACCAGCTGTTGCTCTCACTGGAGACTACTGGACATCGCTGGGTAACCATCATCATCTCGGAGTTACAGCATTATATTGATGAACAGTAGAGCTGCACTCACATGCTCTGACTGTCATGAAGACAGAAGACAAACATTCTGATGAAACGTGCTGAAACATGTTATTCATGCACAGCAGTGGAACGTTTCACATAAAGTCACACACTGAGCACATATAGTGTGCAAGAGATATACAGTAACTGCTACTGTGTAAAGGGAATACTGCTGTTAAAAAGAAACTTATTTGTTTAAAGTATTTGCAAACCAAATGTTATTGCACTTTTGTTCATATAGCAGTACTTTTAAAAGAAAAGTGCGCAATACACTACTTTTGAATTAATTATTGAACTTTGCCATAACAATGAGATTAATTGCAAAAGAATCATGTGATTAATCACGATTAAAAATTGTAATCATTGCCCAGCAGTAATAAATATGCAACCTATATCAGATGGCTATTTTCACCAGTGTGCAAAATTTGGTAAGTTTTCGTGCATGGCAAGTCCCCCAAAAATGCTCCCAAAGTGTAAAAATAAAAATCAGAAAAAGTAAATAAAAACCCTTACAATTTCAATAGGGCCAATAGGACATGATCTGATATAAGGGATTGAGCTATTAACAATCTCTCTCTTACTTATTTTCACTCCCTGTATTTAAAACCCTGATTTTGGATTGTAAGTATTTCTTTGTAGGATTAAATGTAAAAATGTACACGTGAAAGCCTGCTTCATCAGGACTGCGTTTGTGTGTGTTTTGATCACATTTGATTGACAGCAGCGAACGTAATTTGCCACAATTCTGTCCACAAGTTTTCAACACATCGTATGTATCTGTATCTGAATCTGTTCCAGGAATAACAACCATGTTACTGACACAGCTACGCACTCCGCCTCTCAGGGATACGCCGCTGAGAAGAAAGGGTTTGATTGTGAAGTACAACGAGTCAGTGGGTGTCAAAGGGTTGATGGTAATACTGACACTAATATTGACACTGAAAGTTGGCTCTATAGTTGGCTTAAAGCTAGATCAGTCAATTTATGGCAGACGACCACATCGCTGCACAACAGGGATATGATGACAGGCGAACAAATTACATAACATAAGTCGAGTCATTTTTAGACATCTGAATGAAGAAAAGTTACATATTTTACCTTTAAAGTTGAAAGTAGCCTGATAGACTAAATTTAGTTTTCAAGTGGAAAAAAAACGTGTGTCCAAAAAAAAAAAAAAAAAAAAAAAAGGGTTAAAAACTAAATCCATTCAGAAGTCTCGAGCCATGCTGTGGTGTGAGGTTCTACTTACACACTTTCCAATGAGTCTACTGACAGTCTTCATGATGAAGGAGGACAGGAAGCCACTCAGGTACATCACGAGTGGGATCGTTGCGATGAACTTCTGTTGGCGGGAGAAAGAGAAGGAAGGAACGCTGAGGACAGACTGGTGCAGGTCGCTGTCATACAGAATGTCATTATGAACGCATAATGTAGACATGAAAAAGGACAACTGTGGTGAATCTGTTACCTTGGGCAGCCCCAGAGTGTTGATGAGATACATGGAGATGTACGTCTGAGACAGATTGACCATTAACCTGGTGGACATGTAGAGTAAGGCCACCTACAAGAGACACACAGTAACACAGGTCTGTCAGCCTGTGTGCTGCAGGCAGTGGAAAACAGACTGTCAAGCTGCTGGAATGAGAATCATTGCCAAGAGTCCGAACACAGAAGAACGCCTAGCGGAGCCGCTTCAGGTGAAGTTTAGCTCCGGCTCCGCTGTGTTTGTAGAATCGTCCCACCTGATAAAAAGAAGGCTGCTGCAGCCAACATTTCCACTGCAGAAGAGGCCTCGGCTCATCTTCCTCCATCCTCTTCCTCCCCTGCTCTCCTCCAGCCTCCCCATCTGCTCCAGGGCTCCTCTCTGCGATTCCCAGGTGGAAGAGGAGGGAGAAGAGAGCGCCGATGCCCAGCACGATCAACGCCAGATTCTGTGATCAAACAACATGGCAACATGGGTTCATTTAAACTAGTTGATCGCCAGCTGTTCTTCATTCTTCACTTCCCCAAAAGTGTGTGAGGTTTTATAAAACATACTACGACTCTATTGTACAGTGAAAATAAGTTAAGTAAAAAAAAAAACAAACACATGACAACAATACTATCTTGGATGGAGTTAGAAGGAAAATTGTTTGAGTATATGGTATCACAACACAGTTACACAAGGATCACCATCTTCACCTGCATGTCACCTAAACCAAAGAAGTGATGGATCCCCTCTCGTCTCAGCCTTCAATCCTGATCAACAATCAAACCGTTTCAAAACACTGGACCGTAGACTCGGCTTCGATTAGAACACTACAGTATGACATCCAAATGGAGCCACCAAAGACTATCAGTCTTACATTGCCCCCCCATCTCCCACTGTTGTTGTATCGGAGCACTACTCAGACCAGTGCAGCTTTATTCAGGATGAACAATGGAGCCAGGTCTCTGTGAAGATGTGTGCTCAACAGTCACCTACTTCCCGCTGCTTTCATCCATCTGATTCTTCTGGGACCGGGCATCCGACAGCCAGCAGTAGGCTGGGTCGTGGAGAAGCCTTAGGTCCTAGCTGGGTTAGCTTAGCTTCCATCGCTGCTCTCCTCTTCCACTGCACTGTTCCTCCCGCTTCTTTAGCTCACCAATCTTAGTTCAGCAGTGTGTGTACTGGTAGCTCCGTTAGCCAAACACATCGTCCAAAACACTAGAAATGAGCAAAGTGTGGGTGCAGAGTAGCGGCTGAGAGGCAGCGATGCACTCAGCTGTTATCTACAGGCCGGGGACCGGTTAAAGGGTACAATGTAAACCCTTCAGGGGATCCTCACACAAATAGAATATCATATTAATAACTATGTCATTAGTGTATAATCACTTGAAACTAAGAATTGTTCATATCTCTATAGGGAGCGGGTCCTCTTCACAGAGTCCGCCACGTTATTTGAGGTCCACCGTAGTTCTCCGACACAAAACTGCAGTAAAAGTGGGGTTAGCCGCCGTCTGACTCCCGCTGCTCCTAAAGAAGTGTTATTACTGCGAGGATGGCCTCTGAGCGAGGGGAACAGCATTACAACAGTTTTGCACGCACTCGCTAACGTAACCACAGTCTCGGAAAGTGGAGGGGTACTCTGTTGGTCGCAATCTACAACCACACGGTTAGATGACACCAAATCCTAAACACTGTCCCTTTAAGAGTAGTGCGTGAGGAGTCAGCAGGCAGTCAATGGCAGTATCAAACAGGTAGTGTTTTCCTTGAGCATGCAGATACAACTACCCACCCAGTTTGCTGCGGCAGAATACAACATTAAACATGGACAGACACAGAGGTGCACACTCACTCACGGACTGGCGGAGGTAATAAATGGCACCTTTCTGTATTACTCGTGCTTATCGAACGGGTTCTACCACATCATCTGCTTTATATATGGGGTGGCGGCACTACAAGCTGGTCGGAAAGAAGGAAGCTTGGATGGATGGACATCAAAGTCCTCTTATCCCCTTCAAAAGGTCTAGACAGAAGATATGAACCAGTGAGAGAGTCAACGCTGAGGAAATGGAGTTTGGACTTTACTGAAAATTGGAGCTCATGACTCATCCTGAGGATGGGTAACATACTCCAAACTTGAAATATCAAAGGGTTCTCGGTAGAACCCCCTGAGTGGATTCTAGATGAAACTTTTGGAATATGAAAAGGGACCCCCTGGTGAGTTATTGTTAGAAAGGGGAAACGTTCAGGATACAACCCCACAGAAGGTTCTGGGTCAAACCATCACACCATCTGTAGAACCTCTCACAGGGGGTTTGGGGTGGAACCTTTCACAGACGGTTCTATGTATAACCCTTTATGTTGGGTTCTAGGCAGAACCCTCTGAAAGTGCTCCAGATGGAGTCTTTATAAAATGTTCTACCAGGAAGAAGACTTATATGGGGACAAGCAGACAAACCCTATATGGTTCTAGTTAGCACCTTTATTTGTAAGAGTGTATCTTTCACTCTCAATGTCTAGTGGGTTTTCTGTAGCCCCGCCCACTCTTCAACACTGTAAAGTGTCATGTGTCAGTTGAGTAGAACTCCTCCTTACCCTGAAGACATGGATATCTTGTGGTCCGAGCATGTCACTGAGCGGGTCGTCATCCTCTCTGGCCTGGATGTGGAACAGCAGGTAAGCAACTGCATACACTGTGATGTTGGCTATTACTGTGAACGCATACCTGCACACACACACACAGAGGCAGAAATTGCATATTCAGGATCTGTACCTTACCTTGCCAGGTGTACCGTTAGGTGCACTATCTTTGCATATAAAACACACCTGTATGCAGTGAGTTCGACTCTAGCGTGCTCACAGGTGACCAGCTCTGGAATGAGAGACAGGTGGGAGATCTGGGTGGCGGCCCAGCCGAACTGAAAGACGATGATGAACGGGATGAAGTAGGTCAAACTGGCCCACTGAGGGGTGAGGGAGCCACAGCCCAGACACTGGTTGAAGATGAAGGCAAAGGACAGCATCACGCTCAGTGTACCTGACACACACACACATAAAGAAGCAAACAAAGATGTTCAGTTTATACTGTAAAAATACACATATCCTTTTTCTTATTTACTCAAGTGAACTTGTATCAGATGACCTCAATCATATCCACACACATGAAAGTGACTAACTGAAGCTTAAAGCTGGGGTAGGAAGTGGGTTTTTTGGAGCGTCATTGGGCAAAAAACTCCATGATTACCTTTCAACATATTGTTGTAGTGATACCCCAGAGAAGGCAGCTTTCTGGAACAGGCAAAAACACCAGAAAGATCACATACATCGTCCTTCATACAGTAACCTGTACTAGTACTAGTCATTAATTTCCAGTGGCGGGCCGTGCATTTTATACCTGGGCCTTCAGTGCTGTCCTTCTACAGTTGAACTACCTCTTAATAACCTCATTATGACGCCACAGCTACAGGTTATTTGTTTCTAGGGGAAATATAATGTTTTCGGTGGAGCCACCGCGCTCACATAGGAGACAACAGGCTGTGACCTCTCAACCCGGAACAAAAAGAACCTGAGGCACTGGCCAAATCCCAATGTCCCCCCACTAAACCCTCAAACCCTGAACCCTCAAGGACTTAACTGACGTCACCTAGTGGTTGAGTGTGAGAGACTGTGAGGGCTTGAGATGGTGTAAATAGGAATGGGACAACACTTTGCTGCAACATATCAAGTTACCATGAAAACAACAAAAAATATGATGTATAATTGTGGGTATTTATTTTATACTTTGTCCTCCCTGATTTGAACGTCTTCAGGCTCTTTCCTCAGAAGATGAGAGATCATTCATATAATCTATTTACTCGTTTTGTCAAAACAGCTTCAATGACAAAATGAAATATTTGATGAATAAATAAATAACTATCTTCTGATTTCATGTTTATTTTTTGTTCCATTTTTAACCCTTAATGTTTCTGAGTAAATTTAATAAGACAGGCTGAACACACGTGAGCCGTCCTCTTTGTTTACGTCTCCATGTGTCCACTGGTTACCGTGTTTAACGTCACATTGCAATGATTTGTGGGTAATTCCCTTAGGCTAAGTCAGCATACCATGCTGACTTACGGAAAGGGTTCATAAAGGGCTCAAAATGTCTGCCAGAGAGCCCTCAAACACTTGAGGATTTGACAGTGGGACATCCCTAAACCCTCACGGACTTCGCGGGAGCGCGCCTCAAAGTCCGTGAGTCCGTAAGGGGGGACATTGGGATTTGGCCACTGTGTGTGTTCTAGGAGGCTAAGCTAGTAGCTAGTAAGAGTACTATGCTTCGTAATTAACGGACAATTCATATAGTCCAAATCTATATAATTAACACAATGACAACAACAAACTCACAAGAACCAGTCACATATATTCATATGACAACAGTCATATGAACACGCAGGTCTGCGTGTTCCAGCAGACCTGCAGCGGAACACGCATTCTGCTACACACTCGAGGGCCATTCAGATATTAGATGTAAAAAAACAAATGCAGTTGACTTACCAAATGCTGATCACTTAAAGACAAACTCCATCCTCCTTTCTTTGTTGACAAAGAGTTTAATCCCACGGTTAAATCCCAACTCACAAATCCGTTTCTCCTTCTTCAGCCATCGAGTGTTAAAAAAACAAAGCTAGGTAAAACAATAAATAATCTACACCAAGCAAAATGCAAAAAATGTCATAATTTCTTCCATATTTTTCAATTCGAACTCTTACTACTCCGAGTTTTCCAATAGTCACATGCTCCCCCACTGACCAATCACAGCACACGCTGCACCTCACTGCACCGCTGTACCTGAAAACTGAGTGTTAACTGCGTGTTAATGCTCACGTACTTGTAGGCCAGCTAGAAGGCTCTGGCACGTCAAAGAATACGCCCAATATGTCAAACTAAAGATCTGATTGGTTGAACGCTATGACAATCAACAATATCGTCCCCATTCACTTAAACTGCAAAGGGATGCACGTGTGAGTCTGCAGGCCTCTGTTCTTACCTAGAGACACAGAGGTGAAATCTGATTGGATAAAAGCTCTACTTAAAACAAGCTGCACTGGAAGCAGAGCAACTGAGGAAGACAGTAGCTGTGCAATGAGAAAATAAGATAATGGGAAAAATATTTTTATGAATTATAATACATGTAATACATGTTAAGAAAAATTATTAAATTATAAAATAGCTATAACTTTGTGATGCTGTTTAGGCCAGCAGAGAAGGCCTTGCTGACCCTAACGGCCCACCACTGTTCATTTCATACATTGTCCTTCATACAGTAACCTGTACTAGTACTAGTAACTAGTTTGAAGCCAATCATGGTCCAGTATGTATGGAGCTGTCTTCCTACCTTTATTCAGGATCATGGTGTATTAATTTGAGAGCATTACTCCTTCATTTTGTGGGCATCCTTGTTAGTGTACGGCAAAATAAAAACAGGTTGGCATGGGCAGTAGACTACATAATAGCGCCTCGGCGGGAGGAAGTGGATGAACCCGGTTCTGCCCATCAGGGACACTCTAAGAAGTTAAGCAAACGCACCCGCAACGAGGCAGGGATCATTTCATTGGTCAACACTACACCTGGCATTCTATTGGTTGAGAAATGTTGACAGGGTTATTACACAAAAAAAAAAAATCAGAGAGCAGAGGAGAAATCTGAGAGCAGACGTTTCATGAGCACAGGAAATCTGTGCAAGCGGCAATATATCCGAGTGAAGCATACAGTTTGACCAGAAGCAGAGCAAATCCAAGCACAAGCAGGGGCTATTAGAGTGTGAGGACAGCGTTTTGAGGGAAAGCATTACAAAATCAATGTGTCATGCTCTCAAATCCAATGACATGCTCTTGAAAGAAGATAGGAAATAAGCTCCATAAGTATGCACCTCACACTGAGAATGGACTTTACATTGAAGTAGGAGACACCTTGTGACCAGCTGCTCAACACAATATGACCTCGTATAGGTTTATGATGAAGCTTTCCATGTGTGTGTGTGTCACTAACATACTTCCACTATGGAAATCCCCCCATCCCCCCGTCCTCTGACATCTGTCATTACGGAGTCTTGTAAAACATGATCTGACCTGCACTTGATCAATAAGAGCATAGTCCATGCAGGAGTTTTTATTCAAAGTTACATGAATACCCTTTATGGGAGCATGTACATAACAGCTGACTGACAGAAACAAGGACTAAACCACAGGGTTGGTGTTGTTGCGCTGCAGGATACCAGCACAGAAGAAGAACATTCACAGAGTACTACTTACATAAATGTGAGCATTATTTAATATGTATCAATAACAATATCAATAGTTCAGACAAAAAACTCAGGGAATACACAGAATAAATATAACAATGTATAATATATTATGTTGTCTCCCTACCTTGGACCTTTAAGTTTATTTGGAGGTACTATGTAAAAAACAGCTGTATGTGGATTACAAATTCTCTGAGTGTACACTTTACTGCTGAAGGGTTTGTATATCTATCTGACTTACCAACTAAATGCCATGTCTTCCTCTTGCCGTAGTTGCCACAGCCAGGCGTTAGGTCTGACTCATAGCCAATGAGAGGCGTACAGATGCCATCAGCTACCTGGCCAACCAGCAGCAACACACCTGCGGGTACACATTCACCAATCAGTTATGTACAATAAAAATGAACGTGCGACAACAGACAGAGAAGAAAAATGTATGGCAAGGGTAAATATTCACTGTATTAATTCAGTACAAATATTCATATAAAGGAATGGCTTTAAAATAACTAAGAATGCATAGCCTTCCTTTAAAAACACCAGCGTAAACTGAACGGTGGAGGGAGTCTCTTCTAAAAGATGTATTAATGGGTTATTGTAGAGGACTACATGCATTGTCCAGATGTCAATAAATATCACATACAACATGTGTATAACTGTAAAGAATGTGATGACATACAGATACAATATGTAAAGAGGCAGACAGACAGATGGATAGACATATATATGGATACACTCACCGGCCACTTTTATTAGGCACACCTGTTCAATTGCTTGTTAACACCAACCTGGTACTAGCAAGGTGTGCCTAATAAAGTGGCCGGTGAGTGTATCGACAGACAGACAGACAGATAGATAGACAGACAGACTACCTGCATATGTGTTCTCGAATCCCAGGACTGAGTGGTAGAACACCAGTAGGTATGTGAACCACATCGAGGCACACAGGTCGTTCAGAAAGTGTCCCACCGCATAGCTGAGTCTCTTGAGGGCTGGCAGAGACCTCTCCGTGTCCGACATGCTGGCTCGTGGGAGACGAAACACTGAGGAAAAGCTCAACACCAACCTTCAGCGGCTACATTGACAGGGCTAAACCAAGTTTAATAAACTAGCTAAAGTTGGTCGACAGAGCTGAATGACTACAGACCATTTCTCAGTTCCCCTTTTCACATGTCACCAGCATTTCACACACACTCCTCATCGTGTCAGTCCGTTCAGCAAGTTCTACTTTGGTATATATACTTTGGTAGGACACAAAGACGTTCCCCTCTATCTCGGTGTCGGTTTCCTTGTAATCAGGTGACAGTGGAGAGCTGTGTCAAAGCCAGGAGGAGCGTCTGAGGAGGAAGCATGTGAAGCGAAACCGATTCACACCAGAGGACTAAAAGCGGCTTTCATCGCGGAACTTCTCCCCTTACATTTCGACACCTAACTAGCTTGAACAATTACACGTATTAGAGCTGTTGTGCCTCAGCTTTCTGTCAGGTTGGTCCCATTAACAGTGACCACACATTTAAACCCCTCGTGCGCCTTTTCTTCGTACATTTCGTTCAATGGCAGCAGCGGTAAATGTAAATCCACCTCGGTACGGAAAACACCATTAACCTTTAGCTAACTAGCTACACTGGTAAAGAATATCTGGCGACATAAACAGATGTAAACGACAAAGCGGAACGGGCAATGACGATGACGAAAGCATGACAAGACAGAGGAATTGACCAATAGGGAAACCCTGTTGCTCCGCTCAGCCAATAGCGGAAGCCCTGGGTTAAACTTCCTCACATGACAGCCAAAGATCGTGTATGGAAATGGCAAAAGTTTGAGCGACATCTCAGGTCACTTCCGCCGTTGCGTAAAGATGTTACATATTAAAAGTGTCAAAGCTATAAATCACTGTCAATTTGACCACCATTAGGAAATATTATAAAAGTAGTTGCTATGTTATTAGTCTACATATTTTGTATTAGTCAAATTATGTTACATATTGGTATGTCATAGATGTCAAAGCAGAAGTTCACCCACAGTTCCAGTTCCTTTTCAGCAGTTTGACAGTGCCTTGCTCAGGGGCACTTGAGTTATTTTGACAGGAAGTTATCAGCTGCCTGCCTCACAAGGTCCCAGCTGGCATTAGTGCTGAGATGCATGTTGACGGGGCATTCAATATGTATTTTTCAGCAGTGTGGGTAAAAGATCAAATGAAAGTGTCGAATAGAATACATGACTTGAGTTCTACACCCGGTTTGAAGATGCAGGTTTACTGGATTATTTGGATAACTGTGCCGAAACAGTCATATCATGAAAGATGAAAAAGTCAAACCCATCTAGGAAGATCAAGTCTAGATTTCATTATACTGCGTTATTACAATATTTGAGAGCCTCACCTACTTTGACTATTCTTCATTGCTTTTCTGGCTGTAGATGCTTCCCTGAGCTCTCAGTCACTAGCAACAAACAAAATATCTCTCCATTTTTATGCCAATGTTATTCAGTCACACCATATTCAAGCAATTAGGCTTCACATTTAGAATGTCTCAAACCTCCCTCAAATGTAATGACAGATAATCTGAGATTGTCTCTTGTGGTCCACTAAATGTCTCCATTTAGTAATCATATTAAATAAAAAATTACAAACATTTTTCATAAATACATACAATATATATTTCTATTTCCTACTGACCTGACTGATATTCATGCTCATTAATCACTCCTTTCAATGTGGCTGCCAGAAAAAACATAGGTCACAGAAGGAAACACTGGACTGGTCACCCATTGATATAAATATTGAACTGGTAATTGTGCAAAAAGCATAAAGTGAGATTACTAGGACTGGATTTGCGGAGGCCTTACAAAATGTATAAACTCTACTGGTGGAGAGGAGGCAGGAGGCCAAACTCACCAGCATCTTCCACAACATCTCCCCTTAGAGGACTATGGAACAAAAATAGTGCCAATATTTTTACATATCCTGTGTACCTTGTTTCACACTTAACAAAACCTGATTTCCATTTGAAAATCAAATAAAAATGAATATATATATATATAATTTTTTAATATAAATTTATTCTCCATAAGTCTCTTTTACAAATAGCCCACTTATTTGCAGCATGTTGTTTTCAGCCCCACTAGGAGGGCTAGGGATGGCAGAAGACTCCAGAATGACACATATTGACAACCACTGGGTGTGTTGTGTACCATCATCACTTCAATATCTTCCTTTTGTTCATCAGCCTCAGCTGCGCTTTGTTTACTGCTAATTTGTACGCCAGCAACTGGTTAGCATGCTGACACGCTAAACTAAGAGGGGGATCTGTGTAACATCAGCATGTGCATGCTAGCAGAGCATGTGCATGCTACCCCAATACCCTTCATCAGATCATCAGACTGAATTGCCATTTCATTTCATTGAATTGTTCAACAAACTGGAGATGTAGACAGAAAAATTCAGAGTCCTGAACAAGACTACGATCAATGAGGATCAAAATCCAGTTTACAATGTGCTTCTCCTTACAGTGACTGGTAGCGCCTCACAATCCTGGCTGTAGGTGCTTAGCATTCTATTTAGTCTGCTTAGCCCTTTTCTGTCAGTTCAAGGCCTTCATGCTTTCTCATAAATTGATGTTTCATTATGTATTTGGGTAAAGCACTCACTAATAGTCGTAAATAAACTTCTTAAGTTTAATATTACTTCAACTTTGAGCATGACACTCTCCAGCTAGATCTGTACCTGGTTTTATCCTGTACCAGTTATTTCTGGTGTGGCAATTTGCCCTTAGCAGGGGAACTGCAATCTAACACAAAGGGACCGACAAGACTTCTCTGGTAAAGCTTTACAATTATCCTTCAGTTCAGATTCTCCAGACCCGTGTCCTAACCCGTCTGTATGATCATACTGTATCCTTAGTTAAGGCCAAGTTAAATGATGTACTCCAACATAGGCACAAATATCAAACACTGAAACAAATATTGTTCACAATTCCCTTAAATAAAGATCAGCTTTTATTTTGTTTGGCTGTTTTTTAATGGAGTTATCCGACTTTCCATCCTCCAACCCAGAGAGAAAGAGGAAAAAATAAAACAGAAAATTAAAATTACAAGTTATTTATAAAAAAAAAAAAAAAAAACATTTTGAGGAACACACTCCAAGCTACAAAACACAAACTTTTCCAACGCATAAAGACAGAAAAAAAAACACAAGATCGAAATTGTAGACAGTTTTTTAGTTACAAATTAAAACAGGAAAAAGCATTGCTTTCACATAAACATCTTTTTAACTTTTGATTCTTGTGGTTGTGAGGGTTTTCCTCTGAGGGTGAATGTGTCTGAGAAGTACACTGAGCCCAGTCTGTTGCAGGAAATAGACCAAGCCGCTCACGGTGTCTTCCTTTGACCCTAGAGAATAAAAACTTTATAGACTATATGCGAGAGCTGCATCTTTTTGTCCATGAAGTCTCTTCATGATGAGCTCGAGAACGTGTGCAGCGTGTTTGTACATGTGTGTGTGAGTGTGTGTGTTTGTTTTGTGTGCACGTGTGGTCCGACAGTCTCATTGCTTCCAATCTTTTTTGTTGTCCTGTCTTCTGTATCTCCTCAGAAATACACTTCTCGCTCTCATCTGAACCAGCCAATAAGGAAGAAATAAACCAAAACCCCAAAAATAGAGAACTAGCCAGTCTGCCAATAAACCAGCTGAATCCAGTCTGTCAGCCAATCAGCTTGCCTTTTACAGTCTATCAACTGTTTTTATTTGTGGTCACTTGTTTCCCCCCCAGCAGTTTGTGTTGATCCAGTTTCAGTTCAGTTTGTGACCATAAATACAAGAAGACTCCTGGTGCAGCTGGTCCACAGTTAAGGTGGAACAGCAGACACTCCGCCTGTCCTCCGCCTGTCCGGTCATTCCAGACCAGTAGAAACCAGTAGAAACCAGTAGAAACCAGTAGATCAGCTTTGCAAACATATCCTGCTGCCCGGTGGCCCAGCCAGTCCAGCCGACTCAAGGTAAACTACAGGATGTCCAACAGCAGGGTAGGAGGGTCAGAGGGGGACTGGGGGAGGGGGAAGGGAGAAAGAGAGGGTTACATGAAGAGGGCTCGAGGAAGAGACGGAGAGAAACCACAGAGAGACCAGGGCTTCCCTCTCCTCTCTACTTTTCATTTGTGTCTCTGGAGAGCTTTCCTCTTCCTCCTCTTGAAGAAACAGCAGCACCTGCAACACACATCAAACAGTGTTTGTTATTTGTTATCATGCATTTGAAGTGACAATGAATTTTGTGAATTAAACGTGGAAACTCTAGTAAGACCTCATGAAGCTAATCAATAACAATACGGATGATAATACAACTTTATTTGTATAGCACCTCTCATACAAGAAATACAGCACAGAGTGCTTAAACATAAAGGAAGATAGAGATGGAATGAACATTTAAAAAACTTCAGCGAAGGTAACCAGCTTCTTTGTCTTGCCGAGGGTGTAACCTCACCACAGCTCCTATCTGAACACTGCCCCTGTGGCACTGTGGGGATCTCAGAACACACACACCAGTCTTTGTGTCCAAATTCAAATCAGTACCCACACTTAGAGCATGCAGCCACACATCAGCACATAGACTGCATCAAATCAAGGAAAATACAACATTTCAAAAGAATTGCAGCAGTGAAAATAAGACACACTATAAAATAAGATCAGAATGAAAACATTAACAAGTACACTAGTGTTACTAGCTTTGTATACTATGGGTGATGGGGTCTTACATGAACACAAACCTTACAGCCAAAGTTAGAACCGTTTGGGTTCTTTCTAGAGATGCACTGATACCTGGATATCTGCCCATACAGATATAGCTCCGATATCAGAGCAGTAACTAATACATATAGAAATATTCCAACGCTATTCATTTGAAGTGTCAGGTCGGATTCACAGACAAACAAGTGTAGGATTGCAACTCCTTTAATGTTTTGAATAACGTGAACCAATCAACGCACAGCAACTACTGGTGAGAAGATTTCTATGCATGAGTTCCAAAAGTAATACGATCATTTTAAAGAGGAGTGCAACGGCAAACCGACAACTCCTTCATAACGTTTAAGAAAAGTGAACAGTTGAAATAAAAGTGGTGAAAGGTTTATATGGTTACCATGTAGAGTAGGAAAGCGGTACATGTACGACAAGCTAGACTTCAGCACCCTGTAGCAGTAGCCTGGGTGCTGAAGCGCTTATTGAGACCTTCTGGTTGAAGAGCCAAAACACCGTCACTGTGAGGAAACATGCTGCAGGGCTGTCACTGTGAAAATACAAGTATAGCCATGTGTTGTTTATCTCACAGCCACTCGACCTCCGTGCTAAAGACGCTAGCGTAGCTAACAAGCTTCTTATCAGCCGTAACAGAGAGGGACATCTCCACCATTATTACATATTCATATGGAGTGTTAACCTCAGCGATTACCTCAGTATCTGAAGCCAATACCAATATAGGATCGGATCAGTCTCATCTCTAGTTATCTCACATCACAGATTTCTGCAGTGACGCTTTTCTTCTTCTTCTGTGGTCACTGAATTACTTGAACTGGCTTAGTTGGAAAAATATGATATCTCATCACTTCCATCCACCAATCTTTTTTAGCAACACTTAAATAAAAATGTGATGGTAGTTTCGGTTATCTTCTTCCAGTTGTAATCAGACTCCTCCCACACGCCACTAAATAAGCAGAGCTTTTGTCTGTAATGTCGGGTTTGCATTAGAAGTGGAAGCACCGCGATTTCCAGAGAAGCGAGTGCGGCGCTAATAATAAGCGCTTCTGTAGAATGAGACTTGCGCTGTCAGCATCCTGTTAGTGCAAGGTCAACACTTCCTGAAGCACTGCTTTTGAGAGTAGAAAGCCACAGGAAGTCACGCTAACGGTCACATGACCAACTTCGCCTAGGGTTGTTAATACCTGGTTTGTTTTTACTACACAAGTTAGTCTGAATCAAAATGATATTTTACCTGTAATGGCAAAACAAATAAAAGAAGAGTTGCAGGTGTTGACATACTCTACACATATATTCTAGTAGAACTTGTGTGTGCGTAAATGGTAAATGGACTTGTACTTGTGTAGCACCTTTCCAGTCTTCCGACTGTCATTCACCCATTCATTCACCATACCTGCAAACTCATGAGAGGTGAAAAAGGTGACAAGCCCGAAACCCTGTCGGGGGGGGGGTGCTCCTCCGAGAATTTTATTTTAAATATGAGGTTTAAAATGTAGCATTCTGGTGTACTCTGAGAAAATTAAGTGATAAGAAATTTACTTTATGCAAAAAACTAATTTATTATTCAGTTATTAATCACTATTTCAGCTCTATTATTAATATTAACCTTTATTTAGACAAAATCCATTGAGACCGAGGTCTCAATGGTTTTGGTCAAATAAAAACAAAGATAGCAAGAGTAGCGAGAACCATCGCCTGTACAAATAGTGATTAGTTTTCATTGAACCCTGTTACTGTATGGCTTCATATTAACTTCCACTGTTACTGTACAGCTGTTTTTGTTTTGTGGCCTATCTTCTATTTGCAATTAATATGCATTGTTGCTGTAGTTCATCTCCTTGGAGCAGAGGCTGCATGTAGCATACCCTGCCTTATCAATGTATTTAAAACACTGACAGCAGGAAGCTGTACTCACGTCTGTTTAGACCTCCACCTTTATCCAGGCCCAGCTCCACTCACATCTCAGCCCTGCATCAAGCTGCACTACAGACAGCCTCCTCTCCCTGAAGCTCTTTGACCTCATCATCTCATCAGTATCTGGGCCTCATATTTCGTGGTCATGAAAGTTATTCAGACCACGAAATCATCCTCATTCTACTTTGAGTTAAAAAAAAAACAACCTGCAACCAGATGCGCCGGTGTTCCGGTTTAACGTTAATGAGTGACCGCGTGAACTGAACCGGAACACGGGGGGCTGCATGTTTCATCAAGTTACGTTTTTTCCTCCTAAATCGCGATAATGACGAACGCTAACAGTCGACAAAGTTCCGCATGCAGTGGACGTTAACTTAACACAGCAAGTATGAACGGTAACGTAACATAACGGAACTTAAACTTTAACGGAGGGAAATGAAGACGCTGTAGACATCTGAACGCTGATTGGCCAAGACTCGACACGTCAAAGATTTTCTACTGCGAAGATCACGACATCACATTTTCTTCTCGTCTCACTCCAATCTGAGAAACGCTGGCTGGCCAGTTGACACCCCCCCCCCCCGGAAAAAAAAACTCTACAGATCTACACGATTCCCGTGGATGATATATTTTTGATTCAAAACGGTGAATTTCACCGAAAAGTGACAAGTTTGCAGGTATGATTCACTGATGACCGGGCCTAACATGCAAGGTGTCATCTGCCCATCAGAACTAACTAACCACTTACACACCATCACACACCGTAGGCACAGCTCTGGGAGCCATTTGTCTCGCCTAAGGACACATCGACATGGACTAGTGCAGCCGGGGATCGACCCGCCCTACTACTGAGCCACAGTCGCCTCGCCCTGTGTGTGTGTGTGTGTGTGTCCTTACTTGGTATCATCAGCCACCTCCACCTCTGCATTGGCTGTGATTGGTGCGTTGGAGTGTCCTGCAGTGGGGTCGTCTGTATTCAGCTCCCCATTGGTGGAACTCATCACCTGGAGGTGACAAATGGAGGGGAGGGGGATGAGTACAGGCGTACCAGCGTCCTATCTTGGTGGGGCAAAACTAAAAAAGACTTGTACTACGTCCTCACTGAGACGGATACATTTGAAAACGTTGCTCATGAGTGAAAACATGCTTCTACACTTGTGTTTTCGGTTAATTTTTCAGAAGTTTTTTTGTAGCACCGAAACAATAGAAAAGCAGACATGTTCTTCTTCACTTCAGTTACTGTGCCGAGTCTCAGCTGGTCAAACGTCCATCTGTGTCCATCTCTGCACCCTCACACAAGGAAAAGATTGTTTTCAAATGTAGCCCGCTTAACGTGGACGTGGTCTTAACAGTCCATAAGAGCTGTGACCTCCAGGGAAGCGTCACACCTCTACAGACACAGGCATTGTCAACATTCATTTTGTTGCCATGCAAAAAAAGCGACACCTCTGCTTTATGACATATAACAAAAAGCAACGACTACTTTTTGGCCTTGAAATGTTTTAACTTCACTCTGAACAGCTGTTCTGACATCACATGCAAGCTTTTAAATATTTCCCTTCCCTTAAGTGTGCCTGACATTCCTGAAATGTGTTTTGTTGTTTGCCTACTCCCTGCTTAAATGGCCAGTGTGTAGATTTAGGGGGATTTATTGGCAGAAATCTATTATTCATAACTATTAATGTGTTATCACCTGAAACATTTTAAGATCTGCGCAAATATCGCAACACAGACGTATTCCAAAAGCAGGTTGAGGGAATGAAAGAGGGAGGCCGTGTTCACATGGTCGAACCATCCGCCACCGCTGGGAAACTTCTGATTTTGATACAAAGAAGCAAAAGGGCACAGTCGTTCCACTGTTCCATATTGAGATTGTTAATCAGAGAAGGTTATGCACGGCTGCATGTAATAAGGAACATTAGTGGACAGTTCATTTCCTTTAACCATGTTAACAGCTTAGTAGTCATTTTGTCATTTTCGGAATAAGGGCAAAAAAACAGAATACTTTGTGCATGCTAACATAGTCAGTGACGACAGACCATATATGAGGCATGAACACTACCTCTGGAAAAGTAAGCCTACAAGGCAACAGCTGTGTGCAGCAAACGTCAGCTGACACAGGACAACTGTGTCAGCTAGTGCCTCAGAATGCATTGAATCCCAATATGTTTAGACATGGATTCTGTCCATGTGCAAATTCTCAATAAACACCAACTCACCACATTTCCCTCTGAACTGTGGTTTGATGATATAACAGGTCACCACTAACTGAAAACCATAGAATCAAATAAGAGCAATGGCAGGTACTGAGCTACATTTGGAGTTCTGGTCTAGAGTGCCTGGCACAAGCCTAGATATAACAGAACAAAAGGCCAAATGCAAGCTGAACCTTTCTTTACCAAACTCCTATGTTACACACAGAGTTTATACACCAACTCGTATGATCTCAGCAATAACTATCAACGTATCTGTTCTGTCAATAGAGAGGCCTTGACACAACCTTCTGTCCCTTGTAGAGTCTCCATTATTTCAATGTGACAAAGGAGGTGCTAGTTTGAAAAAAATGCCCAAAATGCACTAAGGTGGATGCATTCATTTAGAGTCTCTATTACAATAGCCCCACGAGAGGGGATGACTGAGGTTCTGAGGAAACAGACTAGAGGTCGGCCCTGCTCCGTATCGGAGAAGGTCATGCAGGCAGACAGATAGACAGGTAGGCAGACAGACAAGAAGCCAGCAGAGCTAACCCTTCCTCTCAGTACCTGGACGGACCCGCCCAGCCTATCAGCAGTGAGATGGGAGCCCAGCAGCTCTCGATTGGTCACTGGAGTGGGCTGCGACTCACTGCCTTTCCCCTCTGGAGACTAGAGGAGACAGGAAGCCGATCGCAGGAGGAACGAGAAGGGAGGGAGGGAGGAGGTGGTGGTGGAGGGGAAAAGGTGAAAAGGACAGATAAGATGGAAGAGGAGGCACGCCATGGAAAGGGGCGGAGACGGGGTGGAAAAGAGAAAATGAAAAAGCAGTGAGGCGAGGGAGGAGTGAGAAGACAGGGCCGATGGAAAAGAGGAGCAGTACGGTGAGGAGAGAGAAAAGAATGAGGAAAGAGAAAAGAAATAGTGAGTTCAGAGTCAGTATTTGGTGGAGGAGCAACAGGCGGGTGAGCGCTCAAGTGTGCATTACAGTGAAGTGCACAGAAGGCTGTGCACAAGTGGAAGCCCCATGCAAAAGGGGAAGGAGGTCTATTTTCAGTGTTTCCTCAACCTCACCTGTCTCAGACCCACAGAGCAACCTTTGTGAACCTGGACTGACATGCATTTGTGTTTGTGAATGTAGAAGAAGCGGGGTATAACCACAACAAACCGCTCACCGTAGAATATGCAAAGATATTGTTTGGGAAACTAATTTGTTCCGCTACAGAACAGGTTAGAATTATGTGCTCACATAACATCGACACATTGGAGCAAAAAGGATAATATTAGGGCTGTCCCTGAATCAGGATTCAGGACTTTGTGGGGGGGTCATCTTCGGTATGTGAATGAAAACACCATCATGACCGTCTCCTAATTTGTTCAGAGTGAGTGGGTGTACCTGGTTTTTGGTCTGCGGCACTTTCTCTCGGTTGCTCGTCTGAAGTGGAGTCTCACTGGCCACCGGACCAATAGGAGTGGGCTAAACACACAGGAAGTCAGGTCAACATGGGGTCAGAGTAAGGAAACAAGACGCTTCTTCATGTGGACTTATCCACCATTATTAATCTTATAGATTACACATTCAGCCATTAAAAACTAGCCTAGAGGCGTGAGAGTGATGGCGCTGAATGTTGCACCGCTGAACTCAAAGCTCACGTTATTTGCCACTCAACTCGAGTCTATTCAGATTACAGTTCACAAAGAAGCTTAAAGGAGGAGGAAGTGTCTTTCTGGAGTAGAGACATTAATAACTTGCGTGCATCACAAGTCTCTTAAACTTGTGTCTTAGTTCCTCCCATCTGCGGTGCATGGAGAGACGCAAGGAAACCATGCGAGGAGGGAGGAAACGAGGAAATGTGTTTTTAGAGAAATGAGACATTCCTTTTCTCTGAAGCGTCACGTGAAGCGACGTCTGTTTCTGATGAGGGCGGATCAGCTGATCACAGCTGGATCGGCTGTCAGTCGGCTTTAACAGCTGGATAGACTTTAGATGGAGTTTGTGTCAACACACGTGCACTTATACTAATAAAGACACACAGTTATCTTCACTGTCATTAACAAACAACCTGCATTCTGTATCCGTACTGTGTCCATTCCTACTGGCAGAATACGTACAGTATATATCATTTATTCATTATTTGTGTCTGATTGTGAAGTCATTATTTCATAACCTAGAATTTGATGTGTATGGAAATGACGATAAATTATGTAAAAAGTGTTTCTTGCTGACAGACTCTCCTTGGTCTTTTTGACTTGAATTCATTCATTGTATATTCTGTATAATAAAAGTTAAACTAGAAAATTCCTAAAGAATATTAAGGAGCAGAAGAGGTGGGACGGAAGAAATATAATAATAAAAAGAAGACCTAGAAAATGCATTTCCTGCTGAAAATGCGTTGGAATGCTGAAAGCTGAAATGAATCTCAAAAACATTGCTGAAAATAGATATCCAATTAAAAAAAAATTGCAAAAAGCTTAATTCAAAAAGTTGAAAGATTACAAATATGAAGTCATATGTAGCTGAAAGTATGAGAAGAAGAAGGCTTTGAAAGTTGAAGAAGTTTAACAGGATTTGAAGATTTTCTCCATAGAGATCCCATTCAAAAGAAAATTGCAAATAGCTTAATATTTCAAAGAATTTAAAGATTACAAATATGAAAATTCATATCACCCCTCTCCTGAAAGAGCTGAACATTTTGATATTCGAACGGTTTCTGTAGCTTAAAAAATGTCAACAATAGTGATATTTGTAGTAGTACTAGAAGTTGTAGTTGTAGTAGAAGTATTATTAGTAGTAGAAGTATTACTGGCATTAGAATAAGTACTAGTAGTAGCAGTAGTGATATTTGTAGGAGTAGTATTAGTAGAAGTTGTAGTTGTAGTAGAAGTATCATTAGTAGTAGAAGTATTAGTAATTAGAAGAAGTAGTAGAAGTAGTAGTATCAGTAGTCATAGTAATAGCTGTAGTATTGGTCGTAGTATTTAATATAACAGTAGTAGTATTAGTAGTAATAGTAAATGCAGTATTTTAAGTAGCAGTAATAGCAGTAGTAGTAGTACTAGTAGCAGTCGTACTAATAGCTGTAGTAATATTAGTACTGGTAGTAGCATGAATAGCAGTTGTAGTACAAGTAATAGTAGTAGTGGTAGTAATAATATCGATGGTAGCAGTAATAGCAGTAGTAATAGTAGCAACAGCAAAAGTTGAAGTAGTAGTAGTAGCAGCAGTAGTAGTAATACTATAAATATTAGCAGCAGTAGTAATTGTCGCAGTATTAGTAAGAACATTCATTATTTCAACAAAAAAACCTAATTTTGAGCGTAACGTTTAAATACAGTTAATCCATAGGGCTTTTATTTTGAAAGGGTGGGGCTGGGTGGGGGAGAGAGGGGGAGGAGGAGACAGAATCAGAAAGTATGAAACACACAAACAGAGGTTATTAAATGACAGGCTTCATCATAAGCATTTCAGTTGGAATTCACTCTTTGGGGGTTGTATTTTGAAATGGGGTGTGTGTGTGTGTGTGTGTGTGTGTGTGGGGGGGGGGGGGGGGG